ACTCCGACTTGTGCTTTCTACAATTATTATTGTCCCATGGGACCTAGAACAATGGGGATGAAGGGGGTCGCCCCACAGCTGCGCCAGACCCAGGGAGCAATGATTTCCCATTGGAAGGGATCAGAGGCCCCTGACAGACAGGTCTGCCGTATAAGAGGAAGAGGAGAGACTCCATTCATCACGGGTCTTATAACCCTGGGAAAGTGATATGAACATCCGCAACAAGGTTAACGAGAGGCAAGAAAGCAAGAAAAACAAAGCCCATGAATATTGTGTCTGACATCATGTGCAACGTATTGCAGCTATCATAGTGATCTGTAACCCTAGGGGCCCATTTACCCCACAACGTGGTGCACTGCGACGCATACCTTTTCATGCATTGAAGCGTGTTGGAGTAGGCAGCCCATTCATTCTAGATGGACTGTCAACGTACGAACATATAGATCTTGCATGACTTTTCTAAAACCTCAGCATTAGCGTCTGCTTGTTGTATTGGAGTGTTGCAGCCAGGGCCGGATTTACTCTCTCTGCTGCCCCAAGGCCAGGTTCTTCAATGCGCCCCCCCCTTCTCGCCAAACACCCCCCACTCTCCCCCCAGTGGAGAATGGCAACCAGATGGCAGGGGGAACTGCATGCCCAAGACTTCAGGACATAGGAATTCCCCAGCTCTGTTGCCCCTCTACTCCCTGCTGCCCCGAGGCCGGGCCTTGTGGGAAATCCGGCCCTGGTTGCAGCCCACTGTGGATGTGCATTGGGGTGCAATTCACAATGAGTGTGAGTGATGCGTTTTATAACACATGGGGCCAATTTAAAAATCTTCCATCCAGCCAAACGCCGTTCACACAGCCTTGTTTGCTGCCACTAGATGAAGCCGATGAGCACAGGAAATTTCTATACTACTCGACTCCATCTAGTGGAAGCAATGCTGTGTGAACGGCGTTTACCCAGCGTTTGGCTGGATGGAAGATTTTTAAATTGGCCCCATGCTCTGGTGTGAAAAAGCCCTAATGTAGCTTTCAGTAACCATATAAACCATAGGGCAGGTTTTGATGGGAGCCAATTAACCTACCGGTATGATATTGGATTGTAAAAAGGACCTGGAACACCCAGACAAACAGGGAGGGTACCTATTCTATGCAAATGGCAGTAAGACTTGGGGGTGG